AAGACTGAAGAAAGATCAATAATGTTGGGAAAAGTCAACTATTTCCTCATTTAAATGAAAGAACTAGGGGTTTGGATTACTGGATACATACACATATATATGCAAATGACACACTGTGTCCTTTGTTCAGTCATGTTTTGCTCTAAATCACGCTATTTTGCACTTAAATTGCTGGGACAGAATGAAAGTATATTATTAAGTATATTTTTGACACTGAAATTTTAAAGGGAAAACTGTCTTGAAAGATAAACGAGAAGACCTTCTGGCGTTAACAAATTGAAATTTCTCATTGCCATCTGCATCTAGCCTTCCAGATACAGATGAGGAATTGCCAGAAAGAGATAATGTGTGCATACGATCCTTCTATTCCCCCAAACATCCAGCTCCATCTAAAACTATTATGGCCAATACCTCTGGCACAATACTTTATCATGTTCCATAATTCTTCCATCAAGTCCACAGTCAACACTTTTTTTTTTCACAGTCAACACTTTTAAGGTGAGAATGATTACACTAATTTTGTATTATAGCTTGATAATATGTGTAATGAAGTTTAAGTGTTACTTAATATGCTCAAGGCAAGGTTGATGGACAGTGTTGGACACTGGGACTCTAGGTATGTATGTAAACTTTTACATTAGCTCTTCTGGTAATAATTCCCCTAACATCTTATTGCTATGTAACTTGACATATCATACAGACTCTTAAAGGCACGCCATAGTAGAAAACTTGTACCTTACATCTACCAGTTCCTTACAAAGAATTTCTTTAAAGAGAATCTATTTGAGGGGACTTCCCTGGTGGCGCAGTGGTTAAGATCCGCCTGCCAATGCAGAGGACATGGGTTTGAACCCTGGTCCAGGAAGATCCCACATGCCGTGGAGCAACTAAGCCCGTGCACCACAACTACTGAGCCTGTGCTCTAGAACCTGCGAGCCACAACTACTGAGCCCACGTGCCACAACTACTGAAGCCCATGCATCTAGAGCCTGTGCTTCGCAACAAAGAGAAGCCACCGCAATGAGAAGCCCGCACACTGCAACGAAGAGTAGCCCCCCCCCCCGCTCGCCGCAGCTAGAGAGAAAACCCACACGCAGCAACAAAGACCCAACGCAGCCAAAAATAAATAAATAAATTTATTTTTTAAAAAAAGAATGAAATAACACCACTTGCAGCAACTTGGATAGACCTAGAGGTTATCATACTAACTGAAGTAAGTCAGAAAGAGAAAGACAAATATATGATAACACTTACATGTGGAATATGAAATAGGATGCAAATGAACTTTGTTACAAAACAGAAACAGACTCATAGAAAACTTATGGTTACCAAGAGGAAAGGCAGTGGGGGAGGGATAAATTAGGAGTTTGGGATTAGCAGACACAAATTACTATATATAAAATAGATAAACAACAAGGTCCTACTGTATAGCACAGGAACTATATTCAATATTCTGTAATAAACCATAATGGAAAAGAATATGAAAAAGAATGCATATATGTATAACTGAATCACTTTGCTGTACAACAAAAACTAACACAACATTGTAAATTAACTATACTTCAGTTAAAAAAAAAGTGATATGGCCAGTTATAAAATTAACTGATTTATACTGACTTCACTCTGTACCTTTTATAGTTAGAATTTACCCACCAGAGACCAATATTCAACTTCTTCTCCTTCACTGTTAAAGAAAGTTGGCCTTTAATGAAGGAAAGCTAGAATAAACATCTCTCCCCACATTTCACACACACACTAATACCAATACCACCACTACAGCAACCGACATGTCACGATAGCTTTTGTAGACAATGTGTGTGTTCCTGAAGAGATGTATGTAAAACTGAAATCCAGTCAAGTGAATTATTTCAAATGCAGGAAGAATCAACTGACATTGACTAGGTAGAATCAGCTGACATGGGTGACAACTGAGCCATGGACACATGTGAGCCAGCCAAGGAGAAAAAACGTTTATGACATGATGCAGGACGCTGAATTCCTTCAGTGTCCTGGAGAAGCTTCCAGGTAGGGATCCCAATGAGACCATTCGAAATACCATGGGCTCCCTGGCCTCCCAGGCCAAGAAGGATGCCAAGAAGGACAAGAAGGATGAACACAAGAACTAAGACTGGAGGGAAAAGAGTAGCTAAGTCTGCTCATTGGGCAGCACATGGTGGGGCAGGATATAGGATTAGATATGTTATCTGTAACCACTACAACCTAAATAAAAAGCTTGGCAACCTTTTTTTTTCAAAAAAAAATTTTTTTAAACAGAAGCTGACCTTTAAATTAAGTATTACATTATATTGTATCCTTTTATTAAAATTAAGAATTCATGGGACTTCCCTGGTGGTCCAGTGGGTAAGACTCCCTGCTCCCAATGCAGGGGGCCCAGGTTCGATGCCTGGTCTGGGAACTAGATCCCGCATGCCACAATGAAGATCTCACGTGCTGCAACTAAGACCCAGCGCAGCCTAAATAAATAAATAAATATTAAAAAAAAAAAAAAAGAACAAGTTCAGCTTCATGCCCCTGTTCCAGACCATAAAAAAAAAAGAAAAAAAAAGAAATCATTTATAAACCAAACAAGCACATATTTTTTATAAATTCTAATTTTTGCATACTAACTGTTCTTAGAATTAAGGAATCCAAGAACTAAATAGAGTAAGTGGGAAAGAGGGACTCAAAAGATATAGAGGATTATCCACGACCCCATAGAGAGATGTGATATCAGTCTTCCAGTATTATTTTCCCGTTCAGCTGTACCATTTGCACATGTCTAGTTATATCACTGCATCTATGTAACCCAAATTCACACAAGCCCTCTCTAGCCACCTTGCACTTAATGAAACTGCTCTAGCCACTCCAATACTAGGCAAAGTCTTACACATTTAGAACCATGACATTTGCGCGACCAGTGCTGTACCAAGATCCTGTCAAGGGTCCTTGCTTCTTTTCAAAGGCTAATCTGGTGAAGACACTAACTCTCTCATGTTCCCAATTAGAGTGAGAAGTTGCTGTCATCATTAATGTGATAGGTAAGGGAACAGACTGTAATTCTAGCTCCACAATTTACTGACTGTGTGGTGACTTATCTAAACTCTCTATACTTCACTCACTCTATAAAAGGAGCATAACTGAACCTGGAGTAAAGAACTGTCATGAGAATCAAATGAGAAAATACATGTAAAGCTATTAGGACAGTTGCTGGCGCAGAGCAAGCACTCAATAAATACTATTATTATTATTGTTACAGCTCTGAAATCCAATTTCACAAATTTTGGCATCTGGTGCTATGTAACAGTAAAGAAAAAGATGGCTAAAATCACTTTTAAACAGTTATTACTTTAATCCATCCCTTTTAAGGGCCATTATTCTAATATTTTATTTACCAAATAGATATCAAGTTTATTTTTAAGTCAATTGTTCTTTCTCTTATTTTATCAGTTCTGATCACAAAATGATAAGCCTGTCAACAATAAATGAGAATCTATGTTCTAAAAAGGTCAAGAATAACAAAGAACACTAACAAGTCTAACTCTGAGATTTCTCCTCTTAGAATGACTGCTTGAACTTAACGCCTTTTACTCTCTTCATATTTTACAGGGACCACATGGCTTACTACTAGAGAACTTAGATAGCTAACAGAATATAAAGAACTCCAGAGAAAAATCATTCACTTTTACCCCAAAATGAATTGTGATGATTAAGAATATTAAAATATAAGTGTCAAAATACATTCAATTCAGAAGTTCAAATTATGTTAACACAACTATCACAAACATAATAGACATTAATCAACAATATCTAAAGCACAAAAGAAAGTTCAAAAACTGTTTCAGTATCTTCCCAATGCAGACTTTTTAAATGGAAATAAACACTGTCCGTGTCTAACATTGCAATGAAAAATTTACTGAAAGTGAATATTACACTTATGAAGAAAAAATAACTGGAAAGGTGTTATGTTGCCCTTTATTCATTTTTCGATGTATAATCTATTTGGCCATCCTAAACCAAATTTAAGAATTATATGTATGATTCACTCCCCAAAATTTCTAAAAGCAAATCACCAAAAGACTGCTTGAAAAGCAACTGCAAATGAAACGAGGTTTTTCCTAAGGTGTCTGAGAACTAAAATCAAAATATTCTAAGCAAAGGATGACTACTATTTCCCTTTAAGCTTCAGTAAAATGTCAAAAGAACTTTCAGGACTCAAATCTCCTAGAAGTCTGATGTGAGGTCAAAGTTGTCTCAATGACAGGAAAGTCAATAGATGCCGGATGACTAAGTGAAAAGCTACCAAAAATACTTCTAAGCCCAGCAGTAATTCCAAAAGCATATAAAATACGACTGTCCAGATTGAAAAGATGAAAATATTATTACTAACATACTTCGGAACAAAATAATACTAACGATAATAACAATTAACAATATTGTACAGCATACTAAGCATCTCACAGTTCTGCCTTCCTCAACATTTATTTATTCAATTCATTCGGGAACATTTTGGAATAATGAAAGTAATATGGATTCTCAAAGAGTGATCTACATCTAAAAATAAGGTTCAAGTATACGTTCTACAGTTGATGTTCTTTTTACTGTAAGCCAAATCCGCTTCTTTATATTAGAAAAAAAATCTACAGGTCTGTTTCCAAAGATCTCATAATAGACAGTGTTCACTGGTGATTAAAATGTTATTTTTAATCCTTGCATTACCTCACAGCTAAAAATGTTAAGATACCACACCCAATGTGTCTTTCCACCCCCCCCCCCCCCCCGGCGCCGGTGGGATGAAGTGGTGGGGAATACGAGGTGCGGGGATTCGAAACTACACGTCAACGTGAAAGGTTAGTTCCCTGGAAGGACTGGGAAAGGCGCGCAGGTACCGGGCGATCGGCGGCCGCGTTGCGACAGGCGAGCGCAGGCCTCGGCCTCTGCAGGCTCCCTCCCCCGCCAACCACAGGAGAAGTGGCCCGGACGCGCCACCCGGGGCTACTCACCGGCCGCAGCGCTGACCAGCAGGACGGTCCACAGCAGCGAGGGCACCCGCCGGGGCCGCCGCAGCGACGAAGTCATCCCTGGGCCAGCCAAGAAGCAGGAGAGCAGAGAAAAGAAATACGGAAAGTGAACGAGGGCGGAGAAACGCGGCCGGGAGGCTAGTCCTCGCTCTCGTCGGTCTTATCCGGCCCGTATTACAATGCAGTTTGAAAGGACAAATGGCAGATGAGAGGACCGAGCTGCAGAGCTTTCATTCCGCTGCCGAAATTTCCTTCATTTCGCTCCCTTGCAGCTGCGGGTGTTCATTCGCCCAGGACAGGGTGCCTCGGCCCCCCAAAGTGAAGGCATGTTTGTGGGGAGAAGCAGGGAGACAAGAAGAAAGCCCCGCAGTTATTTCCCTCGTAGTTTCACGATATCAAAAAAATATCCAGGTCTGGGAGAAAACATATCCAGGGTGCCGAGGGGTGGGGAGCGGGGATTCGAGGGGCGCCGAGGATCAGCACAAGTTCCCGACTGCCGGGAAGGGCGAAACCGGGCGGGGGGCGGCGGCGCCCGGCGGCCCGAGGCGCATCGCCTGTGCTCCGGCAGGGCAAGATTCCTTTTAAGTTTCGCTTCGGTGCTTCCCTTACTCCGATTTCGAGCAAAGCAAATCCTCTTCCTCAACTGGATCGAAAAAGGTGCTGGCCTCCATGGACAAACCCACGGCCTTCACGCCTTCACGGAACAATCCTACGAGGGTCCGGCAGGTCCCGGCGGGAGGGCTGAGGGGCGGTGGGAAGCGGGGGAGGGGAGGGGTCCTCAGGCTGGGCCCCGAGCTCCCCGAGACAGCGGGCGGAGGGGAGGTGCCGGGAGGCTGCCCTTTCTAGCCCTCCCGGGTGCGCTCCTCTCTCTCTTTTTTATTGCTGCCGCTCCATCTTGCCTGAGGTAAATTCCACTGTGAAAGCCTTGTCTTCTCCCGTCAAAGGCTCCTCTGAGCGAATCACAACCCCCCCCTCCCGAGGAAGCCGCCGCCGCCGCCGCCGCCGCCGCCTCCTAGCTTTCCCGCAGCTCTAGGCTCCGGGCGGAGCTCGGGCGTCGCGGGCCGAGGGTGGGGGGCGGCGGGAGGGCGGATGTAGGTGGCTGGGGAGGGGGTGGGCAGCAAGGCGGCAGACACCCCGCGCCCCTCCGGGAAGCACTTCCAGCGGCTCCGGGCAGACCAGACACAAAGGGGGGAGTCGCCGCAGCTGCCAGTCTGCGGCGCTCCCGGTCACCGGAGTCGCCCCGCCTCCGCCGCCGCCCCCGCCTCCTCCTCAGTCTCCGGCTCTTCCCGGCCCAGTCTGTCTCGGGCCCGTGGTGCAGCGCGGGCGTCGGCCGCAGCGGCGGCGGCGGCGGCGGCGGCGGCTGCAGCGGCGCGACGAAGCCGCACTGCGCCTGCGCGCTCTCGGCCCCGCCCGGCCCCGCCCCTCACTCCAGGGCTAACTGAGGCGGACTCCGCGGCCCTAGCGCAGCCGCTGAGGGCAGAGCACGGCGGGGCCGGCAGCCCGCAATGGACAGCACTGGCCTTTCTTCTTCACACTCACACACACCTACCAGACGTCCACGCTTGGGATTTGCGTGCTTAAGAGAGGGCGGCCGCATGTATTGTCCAGCCTTTGGCAAACTCTTCCGAGCTCGGTGATTTAGCCTCTGACTCCTCTGGGACTCGAGTAAAGCCTCGAAGGACAGAACAACCCCCTTTGTTTCTTGGGGCCCGCGCCTGCCTGTCCGTAGCCCAAAGAATTGGGAAGGACCCACCTTTCGCAGAACCGGAGACCTTGGCCTCCTTGGGCTACCCTCACTGACTCAAACAAAAGCCGGAATTTGGAAAGACCACCCCCCTATATTGATATTTTTGCTCTAATCGGTGTCCTGCTTCCCTCAAGCACCCATTACCGTAACCCTCCTTAGCTAAAGGAGTACTGAACATTGGAAAGGATGCAAAGCCAGAAAGAACTCATTCTTTTACAATTGTATTCTCTGTCCCGCTGTCTGTGCATATCTGTCTATGCAGCGCTGTTTCCACTTCGAGGGTGGGCCTTTATTCACAAAGGCTGGGGGCCTTAGGGGCTTTTTAGGGCATTTGAAAGGAAATTTGCGGTGAGGAGTCGCCGCGTCAAGGTAAAGAGTGGGGTTGGGTCTACGCATCCGAGGAAAAGAGCAGGTCTTGCTGGTACAGAAGCTTCCTTTGAATCTGGAGAGGATCTGTTTAGTAGGGGTTTTTTTGAATTGCAAAACCCCAAGCAACCACGATTGGGGAAGGGAATCCTTCCCACCTCCCCCACCCCCGCCCTGAAGCTCTTACACACTCCTGAGGGATCTGGTCGACTTGGGTGGGATTTTGCCGGGGGAAGAGGGAGAAGGTGACGTGCTTGGCGCCATGATCATCGGAAGTCTGGGTTTAATTCTTAGCTGCGAGGTGGAAAATCTGCGTGGGAGGGCGATCTTAGAGGTGAAGTCTAGCCTTCCCTTCTCCTTCTAAGCAGAAGGGTTATTCTGAAGACTGGTTTCGCTGGACTTTCATTGTGGCTAAGGGCAGTTCAAAGATACCTTCAAATATACAGTCCTGAAGTCATACTCTTTGCTTGCTTATTCAAGTCCCCTTTTATCTCTTTATCTGAACTTGATGTAAATAAATCTTCACATTCCTTACACTAGTTGCTGTTATCATACTAAATATCTTATAGGGGTTGTGGTAATACCAGCTCAGAATTCTCAGACTCTTTTTAGTGTAAATATTTTTATACTGTTTACCCTTCAGGCAGAGAGAAGTTTTTCTTTGTAGTAAAATCCCTTAAAAAGAAAAAAAAAAAAAGCATATACTTTGATTCACTAGCTTTATTACTATATATATGTATATATATATTTTAATTTAATTTAATTTAATTTTTTTGCCCAAAAGGCCCAAAATAAGGAACTGGTATTGTTTTACCATTTGACTTTCAAGAAATAAGAGCTAGCACTCAGAGCAATAGGATTTAAGTATGTTAGAGGTGTAGAAAGTTTATTAATTGGTAGTATACTGTTTTTCTTTCTCAAATTGGGATTAAGTACTTGATTACTCATTTTTTATTTGCATAAAAATTTTCCTAAGAAGTACCCTTAGACATATAAATGTATAAGTTATATAGAAAAGAAGAAAGGGTCCTAGGAAATTCATATGAAAAAAATTATGCCACCAACTTAGTATGAATAATTAGTAGACAACTAGATATACAACCCTCTTCCCTCTTCTGTTGTTCCTTGTGTCAACTTAGAAAAATGCACAACGTGAGAGTTGCCAGTTAAGTTTTATTTGGGGCAAAATGAGAACTGCAGCCCGGGAGATAGCATCCCAGATAGCTCTGAGAAACTGCTCCAAAGAGGCAGGGAGAAAGGTCAGTATATATGTGATTTTGGTGAAGGGGGCATACATGTAATCAAGCCCATATTTTTTTTTTAAGCCCATATTTTTTTTACAGAAGGTTTCTGCTATTCACAAGGAGCAGTCGTCACCATGAAGGATTTTAGTGTTTTTCTAGATATGACTAGATATAAGAATTGGGCTCATAAAATCGTCTCCTGAAAATAACAATCTGAAGACCCATTCTGCCAGTTTTTCCCAGAGCACAGAGAACCTCATTTCTGCTCTCCACCCTGAACTCCTTTCAGGGGGTGTTGAAAATCAGCAGCTGCAGAAGCACCTGATTTAATCCTTGTAGAGGTAGATGGCAAGTGCCAATGGCGAGTGCCAGTTTTTAGTTGACACTTGTAATAGCTCATCTGGGACATGGCTGTTCACTCACTATGAGAAAGAACATCAGAGAAAAACTAGAACTTGGCAATCAATCTGTCCAATAAGACAAGACAGACAATAAAAGTGAAACTCTGGTGAGAACAAAGGATTGGCAGGGCAGGCAAGTTTGTTACCTGTACTAGTTAGGATAAACTGGGTTGTAACAAACTTCTCAGCAGCTTATTGCAACAAAGGTTTAGTTCTCACGTTGTATGTTTGATACAAGTCATTAGGAAGCCCATCACAAATGGGGTTCACTGGAAAACAGACCCTGAAACAGATTTGCATCTAGGAGGTTTTGGGGTAGTGCTCTCAAGAACAATCTCTGGAGACTGTGGGTCACAAGATTGAGCAGAGGGAGAAGTTGAACTGCAGCACAGTTACAAAATTGAGGCTTCAGCCAGTTCTGCAGGGAGCTCTGGCATTAGGATGGCCATTCAACATTGTCTTAAATTGAGTTAGGGGCTAGGTCTTTATACCCTTACGTCAACCCATCATTGGAAGTGGGCTGCATCCAGGGAAGGGAGGTGCTCCTTGGGTGAGAGGGCTCTCTTTAGCCAAGAGCAACCCCTCCAGAAAGGGACCCAGTTGAGAGCTGTCAGCCACCAATATTTCCAGCAGTTGGGAGATGTGGTGTTTCAGTCCTAAAGAGTGGATCTTGGAACTCAGTACAACATCCACTACATGGACTCTGCTCATTGTAGTCACTGAAGTCCCCAGACTGTTGGAGGCTTCACTGAGATACATGCTTTCAAGATTGCCACCATAGGGATCATAAATTTTAATTGCTAGTCTACAGTGTCTTGCTCTAGCCATTAAAATGCTTCCACCCACACTTTATTGGCCACAGAAGTGACATGGCTAAACCTGACCTCAAGAGAAAAGGGAAATGTAATTCTATCCCACGTGACTAGAAGTAGGAGGACATGAAAATTTGTGAACAACTTTAATAACTACCATGGTGCCCAAAGGAAAGTCAATCCCCAGTACTCTAATCACCAAAAGCCCAACAAGTAGTATAGGAGGGTTTTCTAACATACGAGAAAAACTTTGGTGTAAGAAACTGGGAAATGGGGGGAGCAACACAGAAATCCAGGTGAACAGACCAAGAGCATCTCGAAGATTGATGGATCTTCACTAGGTGGTATGGCTCCTCATGGATTATATCTTTCCTCTGAGGTGGAAGACTTGCAAAAGCAAAGTAAGGCCCTGATTTTAGGAGGGAACTGGCAGGACTAAGTAGATTATTAGAACAAGGATTGGTATAAGGACCAAGTCAGAAACCCTATTATGTCCTCTGAGGACTAATAGGAGTTGCCTGGGCTCAGAGATAATGACTACATTTAAGAACAAAGCCTATCATCATAAAGCGGTGGTGTCGAAGAAAAATTCTTAACTCTAGAATAAAAACAATACAGATGCCCAGAAGTTAGCACTGGAACACCCTTCAGGGTCCAGTAACAGAAGGCAACTTAAAGCTGCTTAGGGGCTTCCCTGGTGGCACCGTGGTTGAGAATCCGCCTGCCGATGCAGGGGACACAGGTTCGTGCCCCGGTCCGGGAAGATCTCACATGATGCGGAGCGGCTGGGCCTGTGAGCCATGGCTGCTGAGCCTGCGCGTCTGGAGCCTGTGCTCCGCAATGGGAGAGGCCACAACAGTGAGAGGCCCGCATACCGCAAAAAAAAAAAAAAAAAAAAAGCTGCTTAGAAACTAGGATTTAACCTTTAGGATTTAACTGAGTTATGGGACATGGCATTATCTCCTTTTGTAAGATTAAGTTGTAGCTGTAGGGAGAGGGGAAAACCCTGATGTGAAGTATAAGGAAAGTTAAATTGGAGACTGACACCACCCCCCTCATCCTCTGGACCTAAAAGCAAACTTAAGTCTCTCTCTTTCTGAAATAAGCAACGTTTTTAAAACAAAACAAAATAAACAAACAAAAACCTTTGCTTTTGGAACCTAGATCTTTGTCCCATCTCTTTCCTTCTCTTTTTATATAACTTTTGAAATTTTAGTTAGCCTAGCTTCTGGGGTAACCCTTCCCTTTAAGAACAAAATAGAATCATCTGAACCTCCCATCCTGAATGACTCACAGCAGGAGAACACAGCCTTTCCCTAAGCATGTGAAAGATCCCAATCCTAGAGGAGGAGGACTTACATTTTCCACAGATTTACCTGATTTGGTCTGAACTTCTCTACTGACACCTTGTAAGAGCTTTTCCTTGCAAATGCAAGACGCTGAGCTCTGCTTTCCTCCAAAGAGTAGCAACAGGACCCCTCCTTTATTCTCTAAGCTACACTAAAATATGGTTAAAATTTTTGCTAAGGCTTAGAATTTCTTTAAAAAATAAGTTTCACATAATAAAAGAAATCTTAAAACAGGATATCAGATCTCCTGGCTCCCTGTAGTCCTTGAACCACATCAATACCTGCCCAGTGGATTCACTTCTCCCTTTGACAGGAGTATTCCTTAGCCTATAGCCACTAGCCATGTTTCTAGGATCCAGTCCTGTCCTCTCCCTGCATCCAGCTGAAGTTCATCCA